CAGCCGAGGGTGACAGTCGGGTTACGAGTGTAGTTAAAAGCCCTCTTGCCAAACTAAAGCCAAAATAACACAGAAAGGCACAGAGATGGAGGGGCAGGGCTGGTTATCTCTCCTCGCGCCCTTGTCTGTTCCTCGTGTGGGGACAGTGGCCGTGGAGGTTTAAGCGTGGGGCTCTGCGGGGTTGTCTGGTTTCAGAAACACTGCGACAGGCAGAAGGCAAACCTGAGGATCCGCTTCAAGCCCTCGCTCTTCCAGCACGTGGGAACCCACTCCTCCTTGGCTGGGAAGATCCAGAAGCTGAAGGTGGGTACCAGCTGCCTGGCCTGCAGGCACACGGGAACTGGCTGCTTTTGGCGTGGGGACATCAGGGAGAGCAACTGGTGGGACGGTGGCAGTGGGGTTTCTGTGCAGTCGTTGTGTTTTATTGTCAATGACGCTGAGCTCATGTAGTTCCTGCTTCTCAGCGTGGCAGTGACACATACCAAGCATCGCTGCAAGCTTTTAAGCCTTGGTACTGGTCCTGGCTGCCCCTCCTGGCTTCCAACCATGAGCTGGGCAAGTGATTTTGAAGCGTCTACTGAAAAATCCTGGAGAGATGGCTCCTGGGTTGGTCTGACCTCCTTCCCACCCCTCTCCTTTTTCCTGGGATTTGCTGATAGACAAATTAGAGCTTGCTGTGTAAGAGCTTAAATCATTCGTGTGTATTTAAACATCAACAAACCCGAGCTTCCCGCAGCTATGTGTGCAGGACCCGTAGACACGCGTCCCTGGGCTGGGCTCAGTGTGTCTGTCCAGTCCCCAGGTAAAGGGATGGTGTCATCCAGCTCGTGTCACACTGCAGTGCCTGTCAGGCCGTGTAATCCCATCATTTTATGCTGTTATCAGCTTCCTGTCCACCTTCTCCTCAGGTGTAAGGACTGTTTGCAGAGTTCTTGGGGCAGGGACATGTATTCGAGGATCCTTGGACAATGAAAGGCTCTTTGGTGGTGGTGCTTCTCTGTGCTGTCTCTCCTGAAGTTTTGTCCTCCTGGGATCCAGCCACACATTTCCCTGTCTGGTGCCTTCCCCAAAATCACTTCCATCCCTCATCCTTCTGCCCTGTGCAACTCAAGAGCTTTTAATTTGTAGTGCGTGCTGCTGGGACCCCTGTCATGGCCGTGAGCAGCTCATGACCCTTTTCTGCCCTTTTGCTTTGCACCCACCAAGGACAAGGACTTTGGCAAGCAGGCGCTGCGGAAAGAGCACGTCAACCCTCCTGCGGAGGTGAGCACCAGCCTGAAAACCTACCAGCACTTCACCTTGGAGAAGGCTTACCTGCGGGAGGACTTCTTCTGGGCTTTTACTCCCACTGCCGGAGACTTCATCAGATTCAGATTCTTCAAACCACTCCGCATTGAAAGGCCAGTGCCTGGTGGGGGGGTGGTGGGGGGTGTGGGGGCTGCCTGGAGCATGTGGAGACACTTTCCTCTTGCTCTTCTGGCTCATGTTTAATTTCTCGCCCGTCTCCTGCTTGGCTGCCCGGGAGGAGGCAGCAATGCTCTTCTAGGGGGAGGAGAACTTGACCCTTTTTTGGTGGGGCCACGTTGAGCTGTTTGCTGGTTCAACTGGGGTGAAAGCCATCATGTGTCCCCTCACTCACTGGGGGTTTCCTTTGGTCTCTGTCACAGGTTCTTCTTCCGCAGTGGGAACATCGAGCACCCAGAAGACAAACTCTTCAACACGACTGTGGAGGTTCTGCCGTTTGACGTAAGTGTTTTATTGAGAAGGGAGACGGGGGTGGAGTGGGAAGCAAAAGAGTTTTGAGAGAAAGGAACCACTTAAAGCTGTCAGGAAAATCTTTACAAGACTCAAGTGCCTTTGAGAGGTGCTGTCAGGGAGCCAGGGGGTCACGCTGGTGTGGTACCACCTCGGGAGCTGGGATGCTGTGGTGAGCGGTGGCTGTGGGAGCCATCCCTGCCTGCAGAGGGGACGTGTGGATGGATGGGATGGCTGCAGAGGAGCAGATGGAGCCAGGATGGTGCAGTAGAAGCAGCAGCATGAGGGCAGCAAATGTCCTTGTTTTGGGGTGTCAATGTCAGGGTGCCAGGCAGGGGGATGAGATGTCAAAGGCTCCTGGCAAGGGCAGCTCCGGGGTTGCTGCTGTTGCTTGGGGGCTTTTGGGTGGCTCTTACCACTGGCCTTGTGCAGAGCTCCTCTCCTTCCCGCAGAGCCTGCAGTCGGATAAGGAAACCTTGCAGGAGGGAAGAGGCACAGCCGTCAAATACCGCAGGACGCCGGATGGCTACATCCAGATAGGTACAGCAGGGTGCAGGGTGGTAAACTGCCTGCTGGGTTCTGTAACACAGCCCCTGTCCTCGCCTTCTAGTGAATTGAAACCCTTGGTGCTGTTCACTTGGCAATTTCTGTGTGCCAGGAGCCAGGCTGGAACAGGATTTAATTGTCACTGTCTCCTCTCCTCCGCTGCCTTCCCTCCCTCTTAGACTAGTGTCCTCTTCAGGTAGTTTTCAGTCCTACACTTATGCCTGGGACCAAATTATTCAAATTATCCATTTGCCTAACCTGGTCTTAAAAACCTTCACCATGGGTGATTTCATGCTCTCCTCTGCATGCTCTCTGTTTTCTCCCAGTTGCGTTTTCCAAAAAAAATCACACCTAAAAATGGGACACAGCAACGTCTCTCCTGCCAGGGGTCTGCCATGGCTGCTGGAGGTCCCCTGGGGGAGGGCTGGCTGCCAGGGGACTGTCCCCACGTCACTCGTATGCTCTCCTTGCCAGGCTCCTTCTCCAAGGGCGTCGCGGAGGGCGAGGTGGACCCATCCTTCGGGCCGCTGGAGGCCACCCGTCTGTCCATCCAGACCGACTCGCCGGTGTGGATCATCCTGAGCGAGGTGAGCGGGGCTGTGGGGAGGGGCGGCGCTGCCCAGCCTCAGCGGGGGTCCTGCCACCGCCCCCTGCCTCTCTCTGACCCCAGCCCTCTCTCCTTTCAGATTTTTATCAAAAAAGCCGAGTGACACAGGTGTGAGGAAGGGTGGACACACATGGATCCCCCGTCCTGCTCCCTCCCCTCGCGCTCCCTTCTCCCCGCGGCGCCTCGCCCGGGCACACGCCAATGGGCAGTGGCAAAGG